GTAATATATGAACATATATATATTGATACTTGGTGAATTATGTGTGTGTGTGCACTTCGTGATGAGTGGGCAGCGTGGGGCCGAACCCGCGATAACTGACGATGCGGGAGGCAACTGTCAAATGGATTAAGGGATTACCTTTAATTAGTCAACCAAATGCGAAAAAGTGTTAAAAAAAAAAAAGCAACAACAACAATAATATACTTCAATGAATTGACAACAGGATAGGGTTAAAACTGTGTTTGCAAATTCAGCTGAATGTTTGAATGCAGTGAAAGCCTTCCATTGATAAGAAATCCGTGGCATTTGTAGCATGTGACATGCCCACACGCCAATCACACACAAGCGGAAGCCTTCCACCCTATTGAAGCTCCTTAGTACATACAGAAAATTGTGCATACGCAGTGTGTACACACGCATGACTATGTGCAGGCACATATCCACTTACATGTATTGTGTGGTTACATGTATTGGTGCATTATGACACAGTGTTCGGTTCACCTTTATAAACAATTACCGAACCGGCTGCCGCCGACACTTGCAACCAGCTGGGTGGCAGCCTGGCAAGCTGCACGCGTCATATGATGCTCAATTAAATTATATATAGAGTGTTATAAAAAGCATTGCAGACTTTTAGGTGGGCGTTTCGCATACTAGATACATAAATAGCTCGAGCTGTGGGTGTTGCTCGCTTTCGCTTTTGCTTTTGCTGTTTCTTGAAAAGCTTAAGGCTTTACATTATTCATGCAACCGTAGAAAGGGAATGCTGTTAATAAAAATAATCTGCTGTCTTGATACATTACAGTATAGAAGGAGTAAATCGCATTTTATTTAAAAGCATAAAACTGCAACAATTTTGAGTCTAAAATAAATAAAATAAGTAAAACTAAGAACTGCGTAATTCGTAAATTTTTTGCATTGGGTTGGACAGATGGAAATCGGAACATGGGTCAGACGCATTGAATGCGACCTAATCAACATTCAGAAACTTTTAATTAAATATTGAACTGTGCATGCTTCAATTGCAAAAACAAGCCCACACATGAATCATGTATCGAATAAATGTGCGTGGCAAGCATACGAGCATACGTGGCACATATGAATACCGTGTGCAGGTTCAGTTTCGAATTGGTTGGTTGAAATCAAATTAGATTATCCCACGCATTGGCAATGAAACATGTTCTGTTTTTCTCCTGAAGSTCAGGCGAAGGGCGACGGAAATGACAGACTACAGTGAACTTTCAGTTGCAATTGCACTCTCTCTGATTAACTATTAGCAGACACGCTCTCATCAGGACTTGATTGTATTTTCAAGTGGAATCCAATTAAGTTAGTTCTAAGTCTTATTTAAAGCTCTATGAATTTGCCATAGTTACAAGAACTTATAAGCCAAAGACAAAAATAGCAATAAAGTTATGCTTCNCTAAGAACTGCGTAATTCGTAAATTTTTTGCATTGGGTTGGACAGATGGAAATCGGAACATGGGTCAGACGCATTGAATGCGACCTAATCAACATTCAGAAACTTTTAATTAAATATTGAACTGTGCATGCTTCAATTGCAAAAACAAGCCCACACATGAATCATGTATCGAATAAATGTGCGTGGCAAGCATACGAGCATACGTGGCACATATGAATACCGTGTGCAGGTTCAGTTTCGAATTGGTTGGTTGAAATCAAATTAGATTATCCCACGCATTGGCAATGAAACATGTTCTGTTTTTCTCCTGAAGGTCAGGCGAAGGGCGACGGAAATGACAGACTACAGTGAACTTTCAGTTGCAATTGCACTCTCTCTGATTAACTATTAGCAGACACGCTCTCATCAGGACTTGATTGTATTTTCAAGTGGAATCCAATTAAGTTAGTTCTAAGTCTTATTTAAAGCTCTATGAATTTGCCATAGTTACAAGAACTTATAAGCCAAAGACAAAAATAGCAATAAAGTTATGCTTCAAACGTTGAAATGAATGTGTTTAGCTTTGGTAAAATTCAAAGGTCAAGCTTGACCGAGCTGCTTCAACTCTCACCGGCTGTTGCATTGTCTGCACTACCACGTTTGATCTATTTATGGCAATCAGAATACTTTTATTTTTTTTATTTTACAGAAATTCTCCGTACTTGTGTGCCAACATTTTAGCATACCAAGCTCTGCCAGGTTGACGCCCACTATGCAAACTAGGCGGAGGCTTCTTATAATTTGCTAGGGACCCACTTGATATAATAATGACAGCAATTATGAATGAGTGAAGGTCGCAGGATAACGAGCGTCGGCCAATTCATCATCATGTTGAGCCGCGCTGGACGTTGTTTTGTCTTTATTCGTTTATATATTTTAAGCCAGGCTTCCCGCATTTGCTTTTTATAGCTATGGCGCCTTTCCTAAGAGAAATTTGCTATTATTTTGGCATGCAAACAAATGATGACGTCCTCCAGGCAGCCACACAATTTGCATGCAAGCCGCTCGTTTACTAGAGAGTCCGCCCATCACCTCCCTCAGTTACTTGCATTTTTTGGTTTCCATTTACCTAGCAGTACGCTCACCTTCAGACTACAATTGAAACGTATTTCCAGCAGACCCATTCAGTAAAAGGCTCACTGAACGAAACTCAGCATAATAATGCATACGTCATGCGAACACAGAGAGAGCTTAACTTCCGCACGAGCAAGAACTTTATGGGTGTATGTGTGTGTATATGTTTCAATGTGTGTTTGTATATGTTTTTTAAGCAAATCAATCATCCAGAAATAGATCAACTCGTCGTAGTCGCCAGTGCCATCGACGTTGTCCTCGTTCTTGTGGACACGTTCAGGTCTGCTGCGTCGCTGTCGTCATTTGGGGCTACTGTTTGAATTTAGCCATTGTTTTTATTGTACTTCCTATCGCGCTCGTACTTTGCATCTGTGCGCCACGCTAAGCCAACGAAACGTGGCAACAATAAAAAAAAAAAAAAACAATACAAAACAAAACAAAACGCGAAAACAACAACCAAAGCTTTTCACTACGGGCGGTCACCGTGTCTTGTCCAGTGACAAGGATATTAGTCCGCTGAGCGTCCTAGAGCCCCGAGTCGCGCACTTTAAAGTCTGCGCTTGACAGTTGCCTTCGCCCTCAACCACGGGAATGTGTCAATTTGGCATAATAGCCCTGTCAATAGCTAGATAGCACATTGCCCATGTTCGTAATTGCATTTAAATTTAATGAAAAACAAACCACWAAAGTGCCAATCGCCAGCACATTTTCAATTAAATTATCCATTTGCAATTGCAGAGAATGAGTTAATGGCAGCTTAGATATGTTAATGGGAGCCTTAAAAAATTACGCGATTCCTATACTACATTTGGCTCAGTAGAAATAAAAGTTGAAATTATTTATAAAAAAAAAAAAAAAAACAGTGATTGAAATCCAATTATCAGCGAATGCAGGTATAATTCTTTTCTTTTCGTTTTGTGTTTCCCGAGTGATTGATTGATGACGCACAAACGAGCGAGTTATACAGTTATACATATTTATGTAACTAAAGTTAGGCGATGAGCCATAGTAGATGCTGGCTTGCGATTCGATATTTTATTTTTGTTAACCTTTAAATTTTAAATTGTTTGAAGTGTGTCTGAAAGTGAAGAGGTTTTCCTTCATAATTGCAATTAAATAAAATAAAAATGTAAAGCAATAGAAGTTGTTACCCCATTTCTTTTTAAATTCAAGTAAGACTATATTTTGTCCTGACTGATATTGTATCATTTTCAAACCCTGAGCCCATTAAAAATGGGAAAAATGGTTTTAATGGTTTTGTAAAAATCTATATGAGAATTTTATTGTGCCGTTTAATAATAATTATTACTGAATATCACAATATGGGAAACCACATTGACTACCTAGCTGTGAAGAAAACAATAAAATAGCAGTCATCTGTTGTAAGCTAATATTAACCAAATATTTAATCAAGCCACTGTGTAGACGCCTGGATATTTGTTCACTGTTGCTAGACGCTATATAAATAGACGGGCGCTCAGTCTGCRAGGAAGTAAGCATTTTATAGCATACAATTGAGCGCTAATCTAAAACTATGCTTGGCCCAAAATAGTAATMATCATAATAAAAGTGGGTAAAAGTTTCTTGGCTTCGTGTCGGMAAATTGAACCCAGTCACAGGTGCTGCCKTAAAGAACAACAACGAACCTAATAACATCAGCGCCTATGGCAGGGACGRCGTCAAAGGCGACGACAACGAGGACGTCATTGTCCCCATGCCGTAGCTTTGTCGCGCCAACTTCGCTCATTTTCATTCATTCACAAAAATTCGCCAATGCTATTAATCACCCAGCCCCTCATTTAACCTATATTTAGGGTATATAGCATATATAGGATATATATATATATATAACAATAAAATCAAGAGCAGTTGTGAATCAACAGTGCGTCACCAAAGCGAGCTCACAGCAGTCGCTATTGATTGCCTTCACGTGGCGATACTTAAGTTTACTTCACCACCCCAATCCACATTTCTCGTCTTTTAGTTTTTCTTTTTTTTTTCCTTTTTTACTACTTTTCTTGTATTCTAAATATCTGAAGACACGTCTGTAGTTTTTTGGTCGTAAATATTTTGGAGCACTTGCTCCAACGGTGTTACATCAATGAGGTTTAGTAGTTAGCAATTAGGCAAATGTGGCTATTAACACGTTGGTTTAAAGGATTTGTTTCATTTCTTTAAGCGCATTTTTTCTGTGTGGCCACGCTTAACGAAAGAGTATCATTAGATAAATTAACATTAATTTGCAATTATAAAATAAAGGTGCTAATGATCTCTGTTGGCCATAGCCCACAGAAACCTTTATTTTGGTTAGACAATAATGAAAGGATGATTGCAGTCCTTAATTTGACTGTCAGGCTGAAAAAAAAAGTCAGGTTCGTTTCTTGGTTAACTTGTCTATTTTCCTTTGAAAGCAGAATATATATAATTGTTTTAGCAAAAGGCAGAGCTTCCTTCCACAAGTGAGCAGCGTAGTGTGGAGTGAGCTATAGATTTTTCAACTTGCCTTAACATACAGACTTCCGCTTTACTCTGACCTTGAGCAACGGAGATGCCTTTCTCTTCGCACACATAGTTGGAAATAGTTTGTCGAAACATCTTGCTCCTCACTTTACAACTCGTATGCGGACAAGCTTTGTAGATAGTTGAAATACTCACACTGACTTAAAGTTCTTTCTCGGTCTCTGTTACAGCCCAGCCATGTCCGACACGTCCAAGTCGAATAACAACGCAGCCAGCGCGGCGAGCGCAGATGGGGATGCCGGCAATGTCACACCAACGACGACACTACCACGCAGCAACCATAATAACAATAACAGCAGCAAATTAAAGTCAACGCAGAACAGCAGCGGCGGCGGAAGCATAGACAAACTGTCACCGGATCAGGATATTTATATAAACGCAGCCGACGGTCTGCCCAGTCAGCACCCGACGCTGCCGCCTGAAGCTGACGTGGACACCGATACGGAGCCGGAGGTGGATCCCGATTCGTTTGACGATCTGCCCACATCGATCATAGTGACCAACATACATTCGGAGGTGTTTGCYAATCCCGAGCTTAAACACGACATGGARGAGCTGTTCCGTACCTTCAGCGAATCTGCCACTTTCCAGTGGCTGCGCAGCTTTCGCCGGCTGCGGGTGAACTATGACAATGCCGTTGCAGCGGCCAACGCGCGCATTAAACTGCACCAATACGAGTTTAACAAAAAGACGGTGATCACCTGCTACTTTGCTCAGCCGGTGACACCTGTTAACAACAAGAATCTACAGCCACCGGCGCCGGTCAAACAGTTCCTTATCTCTCCGCCCGCCTCACCACCAGCCGGCTGGGAGCCGCGCGAGGAAGGTGAGCCGTTGGTAAACCACGATCTGCTTGCTGCATTGGCCAGCTTGACGCCCGGCGAATCCCACGAGCTGCACCCACAGAGCGAGGATCAGCCAGCGATTATTGTGCACACCGCTGTGCTGCCCGAGGCCGGGAGCGTAGGCACTGCACTCCAGCCCAAAGCACCAATTGTACAAACCAAATGTCCGGAGCGCGCATAAGCGCCAAACTAAGAGCTTAACACGGAATGTTTGGCGGCATATGCAACAGCCGGCGCCAGCGTACCACAACCAATACTGAGCATCTATAGAGAACGAATGRGAGCTATGGCAAGCCAGATGACTGGACATTTGGCCATKGTGAATGGGCAGCACTGTGGGCAGCCTGGCGGTTGAGAGAATTTTTTGTAAATAATTTCTTAAAAAACAAAATTCGATTGTGATTAATTTACACGTAGCTATGTTTTATATTAAGTACTTGTACTCTCACGTTTGGAGCGTTTCAAGTTTCGGTTTCCCGTCTCCTTATGATTTGCTGCGAGCGTTGCCGTCGAGCATTTACAAACATTAGCTTATCTTAATGTACGCCAAGTGGAGCWGTTAACYMCAATTGATTCTAGATGTGTTTGTTGTTTGCATACGAAATCGCGTTGTCTCTCTCTTGGTGTCTGTTTCTATTTGAATCGATGTGGCTATCCACAATATCTAAATGTACCTTCATGCTAAAAAGAAATATAACAAAATATGTTTGCAAGTAGCTGCAAAAAACGAATTTTTGCACACAAGATGACGAAGAAATCGCAAACGGAAATCCAGATATAAATCTATGTATATGTTCACTTATATATATATGTGTATATGTAAATGTTAATCTAATTGTAAGCCAGAGAGAATTCGGATATCTATATCTKATATTGAAATACGTATATATGTATACACATTAGCTACAATTCAAAAACAAGTAAATGAAAAATGAAATTATATTCAAATTCAAAATGAATGTTCTCAATTGTACCTAAAAACCAAAATCAAAAACCATTTTAAACAAAAAACAATACAAAGTCCTTTAATTGACGTGAGAAAATGTGAATTGCTTGCAATGTGGTTGCCATATGTTTGCCAGTTTTGCAGTGATTTGTGAATCCCATCCCAGGCTCTCATATACTTATTGTGCATTTTCAACAAGGCTGTTACTAAATATAAATTCAGCTCAATTACATTTAATTTGTTACAGAAACCAAAATAGAATTTGACTTAAAGTCCACCTGTTACTGCTCGAATCAAATTATTTGTTGTTAACGGACCTTTGTCCCGAACTGCTTCTGAAGACGACGATAACCAAATGATTTAATCACTCTCAGATATAATTCTAATTATTAGTAAATTTAACATAGAGACAAATAAATATCGGCCCGAAATATAAATAGAGAAATATGCAACAGCATACTTTTAAGCTTGTCGTAGTGGTTAATGAATTTGCTAACCAGATATTTTGGATCAACTCCATTTCTCAGAACTATAGCTCTCATCGAATATATGCTCCATGTGACATTCTTACAAGCTTCTTTAGTGCTACGTTTCGCTTAAAATGTAAAATGAAATCAGCTAAAGCACATATTTGAAATAACAGTGAGACACGACGACTTCAGTACATCATTTGATTCCATGTCTTTGGTCCATAGCTCCAAAAATATGTACTTTATGTAATTTATTAACATGATGAAAGCTAACTAAACACCGCAAAAGCAGCTGGTAGTGTGTATCTATGTGTGTGTGTGGAAATGTGTCGGTATAGATGTATCTTAGACTTAACAAAACAAAACAAAAAACAAAACTTTGGCATATCTTATTTACTTTCGATGGTCTTGAGCGGCACCATTTGCTCAGGATCGTCGGGATAAATACTATCCTGGCGTGGCTTCCGGCCAGCACATTGGCTGAACCAGGTGTCACCCTTGCCAAAGTTCTCGCCATCCTCAATGGACTCTGGCATGGGCTTGTTCATTGTTTCCGGCAGGAACATAACCCAGAAGCCGGACACTAAGGCAACCACACCGAACAACACAGCCGGAATCTTGGGATCAAATGAATCACCAAGCAGAGTAATCAGGGGTGTCAGTGCGCCAGAGAGACGGGCACACATTGAGCCCAATCCCATGGCTGAGTTGCGCACCACAGTGGGAAACAGCTCCGCCGAGTAGTTGTANAACGGAAATCCAGATATAAATCTATGTATATGTTCACTTATATATATATGTGTATATGTAAATGTTAATCTAATTGTAAGCCAGAGAGAATTCGGATATCTATATCTGATATTGAAATACGTATATATGTATACACATTAGCTACAATTCAAAAACAAGTAAATGAAAAATGAAATTATATTCAAATTCAAAATGAATGTTCTCAATTGTACCTAAAAACCAAAATCAAAAACCATTTTAAACAAAAAACAATACAAAGTCCTTTAATTGACGTGAGAAAATGTGAATTGCTTGCAATGTGGTTGCCATATGTTTGCCAGTTTTGCAGTGATTTGTGAATCCCATCCCAGGCTCTCATATACTTATTGTGCATTTTCAACAAGGCTGTTACTAAATATAAATTCAGCTCAATTACATTTAATTTGTTACAGAAACCAAAATAGAATTTGACTTAAAGTCCACCTGTTACTGCTCGAATCAAATTATTTGTTGTTAACGGACCTTTGTCCCGAACTGCTTCTGAAGACGACGATAACCAAATGATTTAATCACTCTCAGATATAATTCTAATTATTAGTAAATTTAACATAGAGACAAATAAATATCGGCCCGAAATATAAATAGAGAAATATGCAACAGCATACTTTTAAGCTTGTCGTAGTGGTTAATGAATTTGCTAACCAGATATTTTGGATCAACTCCATTTCTCAGAACTATAGCTCTCATCGAATATATGCTCCATGTGACATTCTTACAAGCTTCTTTAGTGCTACGTTTCGCTTAAAATGTAAAATGAAATCAGCTAAAGCACATATTTGAAATAACAGTGAGACACGACGACTTCAGTACATCATTTGATTCCATGTCTTTGGTCCATAGCTCCAAAAATATGTACTTTATGTAATTTATTAACATGATGAAAGCTAACTAAACACCGCAAAAGCAGCTGGTAGTGTGTATCTATGTGTGTGTGTGGAAATGTGTCGGTATAGATGTATCTTAGACTTAACAAAACAAAACAAAAAACAAAACTTTGGCATATCTTATTTACTTTCGATGGTCTTGAGCGGCACCATTTGCTCAGGATCGTCGGGATAAATACTATCCTGGCGTGGCTTCCGGCCAGCACATTGGCTGAACCAGGTGTCACCCTTGCCAAAGTTCTCGCCATCCTCAATGGACTCTGGCATGGGCTTGTTCATTGTTTCCGGCAGGAACATAACCCAGAAGCCGGACACTAAGGCAACCACACCGAACAACACAGCCGGAATCTTGGGATCAAATGAATCACCAAGCAGAGTAATCAGGGGTGTCAGTGCGCCAGAGAGACGGGCACACATTGAGCCCAATCCCATGGCTGAGTTGCGCACCACAGTGGGAAACAGCTCCGCCGAGTAGTTGTAGATGACAGCAAAGGATCCAGCGATGAGCAGCTTGCCCAGCATCACAATACTCGTGGATAATGTGGTACCCTGAGCTATGAAGGCAGCCACAATGCAACAGAGGCCGCCACCWAGCATCAGAGTSGAGGTTATGGAGCGACGTCCCAGGCGATCCAGGACAAAAACAATGGTTATATAGCTGGGGAACTCCACCAGACCCATAAGGAACAGTATCAGATAGGGATTACCATAAAGCTTGCCAGCACTCAGCGATAGGCCATAGTAGACAATTGAGTTAGCGAACCAACAGAGGCACACGTTCAGGGTCTTCATCCGCAAGTTGGGCGTGCGGAAGAGATCGCCGAGACCAGCACTCGACTTCTCCTCAACAGCAGCCTGTTGCTTGGCCTTCTGCACATAGTAGTCCTTGTCTATGGGTATGCCAGAGCCATTGATGCGTAGTCCCTTTGCCACAATGTCCACTGCCTCGGCGGCGCGTCCCTGCATCCAGAGCCAGCGCGGCGACTCATCCATCAGCCACCAATGGGCCAGAAACAGGCAACCGTGCAAGCCATACACCACTTGCAGCATTTGACGATCCTTGATAATGGCACCCCAGCCGGCAACGAGCATTATGCCCCCAGCAAAGACAGCCTGCAAAAAGAAAGAAATAATTTGAAAAATATCTTCTCTATAGAGTCCGAATCTATTCAATTGGCGTTGTGGGTAAATTTCATGATCTAAGCTTTAATTTAATTAGAAGTTTTCGGAACGTATTAATTGTTGTTTTTTTCTTATCTATAAATTTTAAAGCCTTGACCTATATTTTCTCAAAGCTGTGAATTGATTGAGCAAATGGGTTTTTAGATTCAGAATATCTATCTATTGAAGATTGATATGGCAAAATCTCTGTTTTACAATGTGATAATCAAAATTTTGTGCTCACCTGGAAGGTAATGCCGCATACTGTCCGTTTGGTGGCGCCCACCAGCTCCATTGTCAGTACAAAGCCGCATATATAGGCACCAGCCGAGCCCACTATACCTAGGATAAAACGCGCCACCATGACCGAAAAGTATTCCGGAATGAAAGCCACGCCTACGCCGACAAATAGCTGCAGTAGCGCCGACCAGCAGAAGACGGTCTTGCGGCCGACCTTATCTGCCAAGCCACCTAATGTTACAGCGCCCGTGAATGTACCCAACATGAAGACCGTTTGAATGATGGCACCCATCCAACGACGATCGCAAACAAAGTCCCAGTCGATGGTGCGGGATGTCTTATAGTACGTTGTATCGTACACATACTTCTCACAGGGTATCTGGCTCTGATCCCCAGCGCTCGCATTGTACATATGGCAGGAGTCCAGCTCGCCGGAAGGCTTTAATGGAATGGCTTCTAGGATGGCGCTGGAGTTCCATGGCAGCTGGGACAGGCTGCTGTTATCCACGCCGGCTATAAAACAGCGATGCTCGGGCACTGATGCAACAGTCACCAGGGACAGCATGTGCATGCCCGCTGTCAATGCGGACAACACTTGCAGGAAAAATTGGGCGAATTGGTATTTGCCGAATTCACCTTAAAGAACAAAAATTTAATCAATCAATATGCAAATCTTAATTAAATAAAATATTAAATGCTGTCTAGGACGGAAGTTGATAATGCGATACCATTCTTCCGAATGGCTTATCAGAATTTTATTTATCAGAGGAAAAATAAATAGATTTGAGCGAATTGTTGGGACTTAAACTAGATTATCGACGTACTGATTTGGCCACCATGGAATTCGTTTCTTATCGTATGATAATAATGAAACCAAAGATACTAGGAAAAAGTAGCCAAGAATCAGTCAATACTTTCTAACTTCTTTTATAAAACTCGGAGGATCTTAATATTGAATATTTCGAATATCTACATATTTATATTGGCTACTGTCTGTTAGACTCATAATAGAAAGCACTTGTGCTTGCTTTATTTAATTAAACAGACTTCAACAATATTGCAAATAAATACGAAATGAATGAGCTAAGATAAGCAAGGAAAGCGCATGCTACTTGGGTATTTGGTAAGTATTTGTTTTATTGAACGCTGATTGAACATGGATTACAATTGC